TGCTCCTAGCTTGCGCCTTTTTCCCTATATAAGGACCCCTTTCCCTTGGCTCGGGGCGCTTAGCCACACAGAAGCTAAGTTGCCCCGGGTACCTGCCTCCCCAATAAAGCCTCTTGTTTTTACATCCAGTTCGTGGCCTCGCTGATTCCTGGGTGTGGGTCTCCCTCTACGAAAGTACCTCTTCGGGGGTCTTTCAAGAGCAGTCGGTGCTCTTAACCTCTGAGCCATCTCTCCAGGCCCCTAGCTGCATTTATTTAACTACACAAAGATTCGTGCCACCAACTTCTGGCTAGGATTTTTTTGAAACGGGGTTTCTCTGAGTAACAGCTCTGGCTGTCCTGGAACTCACTTTGTAGACCAGAATGGCCTCGAACTCACAGAGGCCCACCTGCTTCTGCCTCCTGAGTGCTGGGATTAAAGAGGATTTTTTTTTTTTTTTTGAGACAGGGTTTCTCTGTGTAGCTTTGGAGCCTATCCTGGCACTCGCTCTGGAGACCAGGCTGGCCTCAAACTCTCAGAGATCCGCCTGCCTCTGCCTCCCAAGTGCTGGGATTAAAGGCGTGCGCCACCAACACCCGGCGAGGATTTGTTTTTATTTTTATAAATGCTTGCTTCATGTATGTCTGTGCACTTTATGTAAGCCTACTGTGTGAGAAGCCAAAGACCGTGCTGGGTCCCCTGGAACTAGAGTTGCTAACCACTGTTAGCCTCCATGTGGGCACTGGGAACCAAACATAGGGTATTTGCAAGGGTAGTAAGTGTTAAACCATCTCTCCAGCCCCAGGATACTCATTATTATATTCTTTTTTTAAGGAAATGGGCTGGAGAGATTACTCAGTAGTTAAGGGAACATATTGATCTTGCAGAGGACCCAAGTTCAGTTCCTAGAACCCACACTGAGCTACAAACAACCACCTGTAATTCCAACTTTAGAAGCACAAGGGGCACCTTCCACCACACGCACACATACCCACCTGCCCACACACATTAAAAATCTGTAAAAAGAAAGAACACTAGATATAGGGCTAGGGGATGGCTCAGTGGGTAAAGTGCTTGATGTACAAGCATAAGGACCTGAGTTCAGGTCCCCAGCCCCTACCTGAAAAGCAGGACAAGTCAAAGTCATTCCAGCACTGATAGGAAGAACCTGGAAGATCTCAGGGGCTTGCTGGTCAGACAGTCTAGCTAATCACTAAGCTACAGGTTCACTGAGAGTCTCTATCTCAAATGATAAAATAGAGAGTGACAGAGGGAGACACAGGACGCCCACCTGTGGTTCACCCCCCGCCCTCCAATCAGACAGACACAGTGGCTCATGTATATAATCCTAACTGGGAAGCTGAGGAAGGAAGATTGAGACTCTGAGGGCAGCAAGGGCAACACAACTAGCTAGATCCTGTTTAAATATTTCAAAAGCAGCAGCTGGCTGCATGGTGACACATGCCTGTAATCCCAGTACTTGGGAGGTAGAGGCAGAATGACGAGAAATTGAAGGCTACTCCAGGCTACACCAAATCCTATCTCAAAAACAAAATGAACAACCGGGGCCATGGAGATGACTTAGCAGGTAAAGGGCTTCCTGAGCAAGACTGAGGACTGGAGTTCAGATCCCCAGCTCCAGTTTAACTGCCAGGATGTGGCAGGCTACCTGCAATTCCTGAACTCTTAGACAGAGATGGGGACTTCTGGAGCAAGCTAGCCAGCCACAGTAATCATATTGGTCTACTTCAATGAATAAGACAGTGAGTGACCAAGCAAGATTCTCAAAATCAGCCTTTGGCCCTCCATGGGCACGCACACAGGCACACAGGCACACAGGCACACAGGCACACCACAGGCACACAGGCACACAGGCACACAGGCACACAGGCACACAGGCACACAGGCACACAGGCACACAGGCACACAGGCACACAGGCACACAGGCACACAGGCACACAGGCACGCGCACACACACACACACACACAGATGCATACATACCACAGAAAGAGTAACTCCTAGGTAACAAATTCAAAAGAATTATCCAAATTTTAGAACTGGAAAGGGCTTTCTTTTTAATTAAACAAAAGAACCGCATTCATTGGTTACACCCCACGGGGCAGCTGGTAGGCAGTGACCGCCCTCCTTATGCTTTCATATCATTTCTGGCAGCTGAGTGTGGTGGCACATACTGTATTCCCAGGGCTCAAGAAGTCAACTCGGGAAGATCACGAGTTTGAGGCCAAGATGATCCTTCTCAAAGGGTCACTCACTCCACCTCACTTTAAAGTAAAATAACAGTCAGGTGCACACCTTTAATCCCAGCAGAGGCAGGAAGATCTCTGTGAGTTCCAGGCCAGCTTGGTCTACAGAGTGATTACAGGGCAGCCAGGGCTGTTACACAAAGAAACCGTGTCTTGGAAAAACAAAAAACCAAACAAAAAAACTAGAGAGAGAAAGAGAAACAAAGTTCTGTATCAAGACAGTCAATCAGCAGCTGGGAGATGTTATCAGGAAATGGAGTGACCTTCTTCAGTGTTCTTTCCTTCTTTCTTCCTTCGTTCCTTCCCTCCTTCCTTCTTGTCTGTCTATCTATCTATCTATCTATCTATCCATCCATCCATCCATCCATCCATCCATCTTTCATCTATCTATCTCTCTTCTATAATGCCTGGGTGTGGAATATTACTCAGAAAAACACAAGGAGAACAAAAATCTGGGAAAAGGTGACAAATGTGTGATTTGATCAAACGTTCCCTTTAATGAGACCACACTGAGAACCAGGCCGGTTAATCTGGAAAGCTGAAATCAATGGGTGGACAACTGAGGCTCAAAATTGCTGACAGGAAACAGGAAGAGCATCAATTTTTCACCAAATCCTGCATTCCTGCATATAAAGTTAGAAAATCAGCTTTCAATTCAGATGCAATGGAGGAAAAGGTCCTTCATGTAGCAACAGTTTCCGGTGGCTCTTCACTACCAAGTCCTCTAGGACAGCACAATCATGATGACCAGCACCCATGTAACAAGCCAGGTGTCTACCCCAGAGCCTGTAACTCCGAGGGTCACAGCGCCCTCTGCTGGCCTCCATGTGCACACTGTGCCCCACAGGGAAAGGAGGATTTAGATAAATTCTCCAAAGAAAAGCTATAAAATGGGCCATTGGCGAATGCTAAGGGCCTCTTGGGCACACCACTGATGTTTTTAAGGACAACATGCATGACAGAGTGCTTCCTTGTAAGGAGCTGACCAAACTTGTCCATTTCTTACCTCCAAAGTGCTGCACTTTAGGGACATAAATATTTGTTGAATAAGTTAAGTAAACACCACATCATTTTTTCCTTATTACGACAGAGAGAGAACTGTAGACTTGAAATACAGTCTGAATTATATCCAATACATCAAACGAATGTATCTTTGCATTCATCCAAGTGCGGTGAGATCTTCTACACTGTCCCGTCCTTCAGTTCGGTTCTGACTAGTCCTCAGGCGCCTGACTGAGGAAATGATGGAGGAGCACGATGCTGTGTGGCACTAGGGTAGTTCTGAGGTTTTCAGTATCTTTGGGGGAAAAGAAGCTTAAGGATATTTTGAGCTGGAAAAAGTTGGTCTGTATTCTCAATCTGAAAGAGAAAAATTTCCCCCCTGAATCATGGTTTCTTTGTAGCTCAAACTCTCGTGTACAAGAGAGCTCCTTCCTTCAGTGTCCTGAGTGGCTGGGACCACCACCCCCTGGTTTGCTATTTAAAAGGCAGCGCATAGCTTTTACAAGGCAGGGGAGTATGCACTTGTCATATTAGAACAAACACCAGTAGTTAGATGTTCAACCACTTTTAAGGAGAATTTATGCATTGAAGGGCAGCTATTAAATGATATCACACATTCATCCGACAAATATTTGTTAGGCATATAATTTACATGAAGAATCATTTACAGTACTGGGTAATTAGGAGTTAACAACATAGATGGGAAAAATCTCTCATGAAGTTTACTTACATATGAAATAAATGAGACTGTGTAGGCTCTAATAGAATAGCTCGGCTGGTGCTTAATTGGTTTTACAGTCCTTTGCTACAAAAGAAAAAAAAAAACAAAGAGAAAGAATGGTGAGTTTAAAATTGCAGGTGCACCATCTGTCAGTGTTATAGATTTGAAAGATTTTCAGTGGGAAATATTTAACAACTCAAAAATTAACAGTTCTAAAAATTAAGAAGTAAATACAAGTTTGGTTGTTTATCAGTTCTGATTTTAGATGATAATGACTCTTCTCTTACAAATTATATGTGAAAGGCTACATAGCAAGATCCAGTCTCAGAACAAAGAAGAAATACACAGCAAAGTATTTAAGTTTTTGAAGTGGAATAAGTTTCATAGAATAATTTTCTTTTTATTTTCTGTTTTTATTACTGATAACTCCAAGGTAGCAGAGCCAAGGGTCTTATTTTTCTTGGCATTTGGGGCTATAAACTAATTAAACTATAAACTAATTAAACTTTTGTACTGACTGACTGTTATGTTGTCATTTGCATAATAAAATTTTTATTAACGAAATCTCTTCTCAGCCTGCCTAAACTCTGCAAATTTTAGTCCCTCTAAAAATGTTAAACTTTGTAGGTGGAACCAGCAGTTTACTCACTTCTGGTAAATTCCAGTATTTTCTTTTTTTCCCCTTTAGTTTTAAGTGAGAAAGAGGAAACCGCTCCTAAGCCACTCGTTTACTCCATCAAGCTCTGCTGTCGTCTTAAAAACGAATTACCTACTCTGTGCGGGGAACGCCTCAATCAGAGCGCTGTCTGCACTATCCCTTGTCTGAGCCCCCTGCAGGATCTCCTCTCGCACAGCGCCCTGCTAGTCCCCCTTCTAGTCCCGTTGCTTTCGCAATTCTTAGTGCTCCGTTGGTGAAACTTACTCAGAAGCAGCGACTATGCCGAAATTCTTTAATTCTATGCAAAATGTCTTGACTCTTAAATGCTACTCAAAAGAACGTTTCAGTTTTACAGGGGATTACAGTTTTACATCTGATTCACAGATGAACTTGCTTTTTCTTTTCTTTTTATCAAGACAGGGTTTCTCTATTTATAACAGCTCTGACTGTCCTGGAACTCAATTTGTAGATCAGGCTGTCCTGGAACTCACAGAGATCCGCTTGCCTCCGTCTCCCAAGTGCTGGATTAAAACAGATGAACCTTCTATATCTGTTTTTCTTAGCAAGTCATGCTTAAGAAAACAGAAATAGAAGTGAACACAGGCATCCATCCTGAGTACTGTAATGTTTTAAATCCATTACCTACAGTCTAAAGCTAGTGATACAAAAGCCAACAACAAAATAAATCGTTCAGTGACTTTTGCTTTGGCTAGAATATCTTCCAACTGGTTTCAACAGGTTATAGGTTTGTTTTTTTCCTAATGATCTAGTTTTTTTTTTTTCAGAATTAAGATATAAAAAGAGGTATGTCTTTTTTTTTTTAAGTGGTATGTCTTTAAAAATCTAATGGAGAGTGGGGGTTTGGTGGCACATTTGGGAGGGGGAGAGGCAGGCGGATCTCTGAGTTCAAGGCCAGCCTGGTCTCCTAAGCGAGTTCCAGGACAGCCAGGGCTACACAGAGAAACTCTGTCTCAAAATGAACAAACAACAACAACAAAAACAAAAAAACCTAAGAGAAGCAACTTTAAAAATAACAGGAACTAAACATCCACATTATAGACCATCTGGGCATCTGACATTTGATTTATTATTATCATTTGTGTGGTTTTGACTTCACTCTAGATTGTTCTTACAACAAGAACTTACTTTCTAAATATAAAGGAAACACAGAGGGAACTCCTCTCTGAAGATGAGTTGTTTTATGTTGACAGTGAAGATATTTTTAGTTTTCTGTCAGGACAGTGGTCTGTGACAGAGGCTGGCACCAGGGAAGGACAACAATCCACAGTAATCCCTTCTTCTCTTACACCTTTAGGACATTCTAGAAAATGTCTTGTTTGCACAAAGTGAGTGATGTGAAAGCCATTTTTTCTAGTTTATTTAAAACAAGGGAAAAATTATGTTTACTGTACCCTCCTCCAACCGGGGGTTGGACCTAGCTTTGCTACATAGCTGGGCAAGCCAAGCATTCTACCACTGAATGACAGCTGCAGTTGGGTCCACTGTAATCTATTGGAAGAGATGTGGCTGTGATGTTTTCAGGTTTTTAAAGAGACTAGTATTTCTAGACTGTGCAGTGCAGTGTCCATAAACCTTCCTTGAAGTGCAGTGGCCCATAATCAACAGCCCCCATCGTAGCTTCCTTGCTGAAAACTGAATTCCACAAATATTTGCTGATGGGTACTCAGTGGCCTTGTGCTGTAAAAAAGGTAGACGGTTGTATAAATCCTTTAACTCTTTTTACAGCCATGGAAACAAAGGCGTAGGAGGTGGGGAAACACAGACCTGGTGTCACAGCAGGGTCAGTGTTGACAGCTGAGGAAGACCATATGATTTACAGGTAAATGAAGTTATGGAAGAACACTTCAACAAAGGAATAGCCAAGGTCTTGAGTCATCAGCCTGGGTCACATCAATTCATCTATCTAGTCAGCAGTAAGAAGCCAGGAGTGCTCATGGCCAGTGGCCATCATCTCCCAATGTTTCTGTTAACTGTCGTCCAACTAATTCTCCGGGCGATGGGCCCAGAGGGAACTCTCTGAACCATACTCTGCATACACTCACAGATGCACGCTCGAGTGTGCACACACACACTTAAATAGTAATCCACACTCACTTAACACCCCCCCCACACACACACAAAGAATAGTAAAGCAAGAGTGAGGTAAGACTCAAACCCACTAGGAAGTGAAGAAGGAGCAAACCTAAACATGACATTTTTTTTTTCCCCCAATTTGATATGGGGAGGACTGGCTTAGCTCACCACCAAGAGTGTGCAAGGCAGTGTGCAGAACTCCGTCTCTTGGCCCATGAGACTGACACAGCTGTGCACAGAAGTAAGCTTTTTGAGATGAGTGAGGTCATGGGACCTTCTCGATACCCCAGTTTTTCACATGTGATGTTACCAGTTGTAAAGAGACTGGGGGGTCAAAGCCAGCCAGGGCTTGCATATTAGGCAGACACTGCACCTCGGGGCTGCACCTCCCGAGACTGGGAGAGTTTAAATCAGATCCTGACTGAAGTTCCTGAGGCAAAGCAGGTGATTGTTTTCAAGAACCTGTCCACCATTGCATTTTCAGCAGTAGCTGTCAATGACAGCCAGAACCTCTGACCAAGAGATATGAAGGTAATGATACTGGGCTTGGGCAAATCTTGCCCTTGAGTCTCTTTCCCTGAGAATAAAAATAGAAAGAAGAAATGGCATCACCCGAGCTAGGGTTACCAGATGATGCCATTTAGTTCACCTCTCGTCCTCCAAAGAGCACCCAGAATGTCTGCCTGAATTGACCTTACTTTGTCCAGTTTCCCCAAATGGAATTGAGATCGCTAATGTTGCTGCCCCTGAAATTATCTTATGAAATAAGTTCAATCTTGAGTTATAAGTCAAATGAGACAAGCTCTGTGTAAACACCCGTTACTGAACAGCTTTGGCATAAACATGTAGACATTTTCCCACTTGGAAGCTTCTAGTACTAGGATCTAAAACATACCACCCACCTCCTCTGTAGTACATAGAGACAAAGTAACAGGGTATACTATGCTGGGTTTAGATCCCTTTGGCTTTAGGTATCCACTGTCAGTTACAAGAGTTCTAAATTCTTGCCTTTCCTTTACACTAATCTCATTTCTTGGTTTTTCATCCATTCTAGCTTGGATTTTGAAATAAAATTATAAAGAGAACATAAAGAACATGTTGTTATACACATGAGGATTCAAATTGTGGAATTTACAATTTCATTTTACACTGAAGAATATTATTTACTTTTATTTTTGAGACACAGTTTCTCTGTGTAGCCCTGGCTGTCCTGGAACTCACTCTGGAGACCAGGCTGGCCTTGAAATCAGAGATCACCCTGCCTCTGCCTCCAGAGTGCTGGAATTAAAGGTGTGCACCACCACCAGGCTTTAATATGATATTGTGTTGTGTAACTATAGGAGACAACTGTGTACTGTGTGCCTCAAAAATCTAGAAGGACTCATGTGTTTTCATCATAAAGAAATGAATGATACATGCTTTAGGAGCTAAGTAAATTAAATCTGACGTAAACAGATATAAAGTATATTATGCATTGAAATATCACATAATACCCCAGTTATGTGTAATTTTTATTTTTTATATCAGTTAAAATTAAAAGAATCAACAAAACCTGTTTTATGAGTTGGTAAGTGCTGTTAAATCTGGCTTTTAATAGGTTGTATGCCACAGATTAATCCATAGATAGATTTTTTTTAAACTCCAAGTCTTCAACTAGACAGCCTTCAGTAAACAAGCAATTGTTTTTGATTTCATATATAAAATTACATGAACTGGAAAGCCAAAACCATAACAAGAATCTGAAACCACAAACTATTAGATGATCCTTCCCACAAGTACAGTAATTATGTATTAACTGCACACCCAAATTTTTATTCTTTTTTTTTAAGATTTTATTTCTTATGTATACAATGTTCTGCCTGCATGAATGCCTGCAGGCCGGAAGAGGGCACCAGATCTCATGATAGATGGTTGTGAGCCACCATGTGGTTGCTGGGAATTGAACTCAGGATCTCTGGAAAAATAGTCAGTGCTCTTAACCTCTGAGCCATCTCTCTAGCCCCCAAATTTTTATTTTTACAAATTTTTCAATAGTACACTAAAGTTGACCAGTGATTTTTTAAGACACCCCCCCCCACACACACACAGGGTTTCTCTTTAGGTTTTGGAAACTGTCCTGGAACTCTCTATGAAGACCAGGCTGGCCTTGAACTCAGAGATCTGCCTGCCTCTGCCTCCCGAGTGCTGAGACTAAACGCGTGCACCACCACCCAGCTTTTAAGTCTTTTTAAGAGTTAAAATTGTTGCATAAATCTGATTTTGATCTTCTTTTCCCTTTTTATCTATTTGCTTGAATATAACAAATTTATTTCTATTGATTGCCACACCAAGAGAGTGATTTTGGGTCATACTGCATTAGTAGACCAAGGTCAAGTATAAAGAAAATAAGTTTGTAGCTGTGTGTGGCAGAGCACACCCTTAATTCCAGCACTCTGATCTACTCAAGGCCAGCCTGTTCTTCAGATGGAATTCTAGGACAGCCCAGGCTACAAAGAGAAACCCTGTCTCAAAAAACCAAAGGGAAAAAAAAAGGAAAAAAAAAAAAAGAAAAAGAAGAAAGAAAAAGAAACAAATTTACTTACTATAGCAAACATAATGTCATTTGCTTAAAAACAGTGGTCATTTATCTGTTTAAAGGCTCCATGTGTTAAAAATGCTTGTGGCATAGGACTGACCCCTCTACTTTGTAACGAAATAATGTAGGAATACTTAGTAACTAATAACCTAATAGATACTTAATAACTAAGGGAGCTTTATAGCAACACAATGAGGGGCTATCACTGGATTGAAACATCATTCTTCATTTCTTTCTTTTTCTTTTTTTTCTGAGACAGTTTTCTCTGTGTGCAGTCCTGTAACTCACTCTGTAGACCAGGCTAGCCTTGAACTCAGAGATCTACCTGCCTCTGCCTCCCAGAGTGCTGGGATTAAAGGCGTGCACCACCACTGCCCAGCTTCATTCATTATTTCTAACCACTAAGAACTTTATTAGTGATCTGCCTAGGAACAACATTAAAATTTGTTCCCAGCTCCCTTAACACAGTAAAAATATAATAAATCAAGACAAAAAAAAAAGGTAAATTACAGGACTCAAATTTTACTTAAAATGTTGTTTCTATTGTTTCAAAAGTTGTTTCACAAAAGTAGACCAATATCTTTGGCACTTTTTTCCATAATGGCATTTTCTATACTTCTATTTACTTTTATTACACTGTTCACACATAGCCCAGAGAAAGGAACTGTGACGACTTGAGATTTTGTGGGTAAACAACATTTATCAAGCTACGAAGTCAGGGTTACTTTTATTGGTATTAAAGCTAATTATATTTATGCTTTAACAATATGGGATATTTTGCTGGTGATGGTGGTGCACGCTTTTAGTCCCAGCACTCTGGGAGGCAGAGGCAGGTGGATCTCTGTGAGGCCAGCCTGGTGTACAGAGTGAGATCCAGGACAGCCAGGAGTGTCCAGAAAAAAAAAAAAAAAAAAAAAAAAAAAAAAAAAAAAAAAAAGAATAAAGAAAGATCCAGTACATGGTATTTGTAAAGCCACAAAATACATTAACAACATTTATATTTTGACCTAAATTTGTGATCTCACTGTACTGTTTGTAGATCTAAAATGAAATCTCATTTTTAATTAGACCTGATACAAAGGATATTCACTTAGAAATCAGCTACTATCTTAATAAAAAAAATGCTGTGAAAATCACAATGTGTAGACGTTTTAGAACTCATAAGAGGCAAAACTGCCAGGTATAGTAGCACACACCTTTAATCCCAGCACATGGAGGAAGAGGTAGGAAGTTCTCCGTGAGTTCAAGACCAGCCTGGTCTACAAGAGCTACTGCCTGGACAGCCTCCAAAGCCATAGAGAAACCCTGCCCCTGCCCCCCCCAAAAAAACCAATATGGGATATTTTACAAATATATACTAATATTTTACAAAACAGGGTTAGGAAGCTACAAACTTGAAAAGATACTTGCATTGTTTTAGAAATTACACATTGGACGTACTGACAGCCCCTAATTTCAGTTCAGTCTGCCCTGGTAGCCTTACCCCCCAGCTTTCAAAACACCCTGCAGTATTCTGATGGTTGAGGAAAAATCCTTTGAAAATGGTGCTTAGTCACTCGTTTTGACCTGCAACCTCTGATTTGAACACAAGCCCCAGCTTGCTTTATACCTTCATAGACCTCTCCAGAAGACTTCTCAGCAGAAGTGCAAAGGCATCTAGGTATTCAGTCGAAAACTGACTGCAGTCCATTCCAGAGAAGACTGCCCCAGCAGGAAAATTTGTTTTGAGGAAACAGAGACATGCTTGCTGCCTTTAGCCTGGATGTCCCTGTCATCAGAAACTCAGCTTGTTTTTATGTTTTATTCAAAACAAAACTCAATTTAATTAAAAAGTTACAATATTGGCTCTGGTATAAACTAAAATTTGAATATATTTCTATGGTTGCCCTTATTCTATTTTTTTTTAAGTTTATTTTCCATTTGGCTTTTTCATACATAGTCATGCATTTCAGTAAAAAACAAAGACTGATTTGAATTGTGGCAGTATAAAATTATAAAAGCAAATAAACTATGAGCCAAGGAGCAAAACTCTAAGTAGCTTTCAACAAAAACAAAAGCTGTGACATCTCCCTGAACTTAACAGTCCATAACCAAATGTGAACAGTATGACAGACCAATTTCTAATATTGTTTCTGACTTTCATGATATGTTATTTTGTTCCTGTCCTTTTTATTAATTGGATTTTAGTGGCTGAATTAGAATTAGAATGATCATAAGAGAAGGGTAATAGTTATTTTAGCTAAATGGGGAATTTTCCATAGTAACGTGTTTTATTTTTGTTTATATATCAAATACCTATCTTTAAAAGTCTTCATGAATTTTACAGAATAAGATTTAGTTACTTCTAAGTTTATGAAAAAATATTTCCCAGTCTTTGGAAGTCCTAGGAAAAACATTTTAGATATTAAGTAGCTAGAAATAGTTTATATTACCATGGATTTTTTTTTTGTTTTTTTAAGTTAATATTTAAAAAAAAATAGAAAAATTACCTTAATGATTGCCACTAGACCTCCAAAAACCAAAACCAAATAAAACTTATATAAAACGGTTCCAGTTACTGATATTAAACAAAACCTCCATTCAGACAAAATTTTCTCTTTAAGAAGGCAGGGGTATACTTTAACTGCTCACTGGTATATGCCTGTAAACTCAGTACTCAGGAGGCTGAGGCAGGAGAATCACCAGGTCAAAGTCAACCTTGGCTACAAAATAAAACAAAACAAAAACACTATACTTTGGTTGATAAAAAAACGAATAAAACAAAACACTACTACTACTATTTATATTATTAAACAATACTAAACAAAAAAAGAAAGTAAATGTTTTACAAGTGTCCTAGGTCAATTTTGACAAAGATCTCGGATTAGTTTGTTTTTAAACTATCCTAGGTCAATTTTGATAAAGATCTCAGATTAGTTTGTTTTAAACTACATCTAATGATGTCATATTCCTCATGAACTTCAGCTGACATGTTCTGAAATCAAACCAAATGCTGGAGTTTCCCCTTTAGAGCTGGGATCATCAGGCAGGAAGGCTCAGGTTCAAAACACAACTGAACTCAAGAGGGAATGAATTTCGGTGACTAAAGTGGACATGGTAATGAGCCATCATTATTCTGACAAGCAAGGAATTAGAAAAACGTCTGCTTTATTAAATCTAAAAATGACCTCTTCGCGTGTGTATTGACAGCATTGGGGCATTCATCTGGGGGCCTCGAAGGCTACCTAGGAGGGGCTTTGTTTTGTCATCAAGGGAACTTTAATTCCTAATGTTTGGGGAAGACATTTCTGGGATGGAACAGTTCAACTGTGAAAACAGTAACCCAAGATGTGTCTTTGAATTACAGAAGTTAGAAAATGCTGAGCAGTGGGGAGCACCCTCCAGCTCTCCATGCCCCCAGCTCTCATGGTATCTTAGTGAGGAAGCCTAGCTTTGGACTGTTCTCTGCAATGGACTTTCCACGCTTGAATTTTTGTCTCATTTCACCTTTAGTTAAGGCATTCTCCTCAATCCTTCCTTGCACTTTTGTTGTTCAAGGGAACGTGCACAGTAAATGAGTTGCAACGGATAGATAAGTTTAAATATCCAACTCTCCCCAGCCTCTTCAGGCTCCTCCCCCTACAAACAAACGCCTAGCTCTTTTGTTTTCTATGGTTAGTCTGGAAATACATAGGAACTCGCCAATCCCCACCGAGGCTTTTCATGAAAGGTCTCATTCTCCCGCTGCCCAGAAGAAAGAGCACTCTACAGTTTTCACCCATGAGAAGCAGTATAGAACAAGATACAGTTGCAGAAAGAGGAACCCTGCTATCTGCTATTTCACAGTTCTACATAAAGTTAACAGACAAGTGAAATCCCAATTTCTGACTTAAAGATGAAAATTTAAAACAATACATTTCTCAACCAGATCAAAGAAAAGTGTTTGTATAAGCCTTTGTTTTTGAGAAAACATTTGAAAATAATCTCAGGTTTTAGAGTTTTGGCTTGTCTAGTTTAATTTTTGAATTTATTTTACAAATGCAACTTTCTCTTTAAAATTCTTTAATTTTTTTGGTATACTACACCATTTCAAAATGCAAAAATAAATCCCAACCTAAAATCATTTTCTAAGTAGCCACATCTTCACATTTAAAGTTTCTTAGATATGGGCTTATTTAAGATTTTTACTAAGATTTTTAGCTTTGTACTTTTAAATTCAGTCTCGAAGTTTTAATTAGTTTGTTCACCTCAAACCGTTTGTGACTCTTTCTGAGTGACTTTACATAAAAGCTTAAAAAACACCATTTATTGACCACATTAGTGACATGTAGTTGAACTAAACAAAATGTGTAATGATTACTTCTGTTTAAGTTCTTCACCAACTCAGTTATTTAAATTTTGTTTTTAAAAGCTGTTTAAATAAGTTTGTTACTTTTTAATTCGATTATAGAGACTAGATCTAAACAGTAAAAAACTATAGTTTTCCCCAAAGCAGTTGAAGATGTGACCTACTACAACTGAATGTTAACACACAGAAAATTCTTTGAACGTCCTGATTTAACCGATTTCTTCAAATATTTCTTAAATATTTGCTGAAGAATAATCTTTTACCGATTTTTAATTAAACTGAGTTTCTTTCCCCCCTTGCCAAGACTTAAAATAATTAAAATTATCTGTGGATAAACTAGTTATATTTCTGATCGGTTCGTTTCTTTTTCTCCAGATAAAGAGTGTTAAAGTATTTTATGAATGTAGACACATAAAAAAATTATACTTCCCTTTCTGTCACAACCAGAGTTCTCATCGCTGTATTTTTGAGAAAAAAATTTATTTATAAACACAACCCCACCAGCACCTTAGACATTGTGTATGTTTACCTTCTCGGCTACTGAAGTTAAATATGGTTATTTCGTTTGTTTCGTACTTTTCCAAGCCAATTTCGTATTTATATTTTCTCACCGTCTCCACCAAACGTCAGTGAAATTAGTACATTTCAGCTACAGAAATCGTTAATCCTTCAAGGTCGGTCTCAACTTCACCGGTTTTAGGGCAGCTTCAACGAAAACGTGGTCGTGGAATAGCTGATTTTACCCGTAATTTTTCGTTTACTTTTTTTTTTTTTTTTTGCAGAGGTTGTTAGGTTTTGCTTAAAACAACCCTGCGGACCACAAAGGGAGTTGGGCAGGGAAGGGGCTGGACGAGTTCTCTAGAAGATTGGTTAAGTTCAGGCACCTGGGAACGTTTGATTGTGGTTCTTTGAAATGAAAAAAAAAACAAAAAGGAGGAAAAAAAGCACGTTTACAATCGAGGACCTAAAAGAAGCGTCCAGCGGCACTGCGCGTGCGAGCCCCCGACCTCCAGGTTGGCCCCGCGTACCACGCGCTGCGGGACTGGGAGCGGGCGAGCAGTTAAAGGGCAGGGCGCTGCGAACGGAAGCCCACCCCTCACCCATGGCCCAGCCAACAAGGGAGCAAAGGGTTATTTTCGCGCCACAAAATATGCAAATACAGGGGCGGCCCGAGGGCCAATGGGTGGAGACCAGCGAAGACGCGGAGGCGGGGGCTGCCAGCCATAGGCTCCCCCCCCCCCCCCAAAGGGCGGGGGGGAC